GCTCCAGCAGGCCGGGAGCTGTTGAAGTATCCAGCTCCATGGTAACTATGAAAGTTGTGGTATTTTAAATTGTTTGTCTTATTTATTCCCTTTCCCCTTTTTATTGTAAGCCGCCCGGAGTCCTCCGGGAGTGGGCAGCATACAAGACTAATAAACAGACAGAAACAGAAACAGAACAGTGTCCAGGAAAAACTGTTCTTGTGTCTAGTTGTTCTTGTGTGCAGTGCTCTATAGTGTAGTTTTGAGGGTAGGAGTCGAAACAATTTATGTCCAGGATGTAAAGGGTCTGTAAATCAGAGTTCTCACTCAAAGCAAAATTATCAGGCTCATATTAAAATATTTTGGACACATTATGTAAAGACCCAGCCCTCTAGGGAGACCCATAATGTTGTGATAGTTAGAGAAAATGGCCAGCATTAAGTTGAGTAGACTCAACTACAGCACTGATGAGGACCTCATTTGAAGATCTGGAGGACCAGGTTGAGGACTGATAAACCTGGAGAAAGCCTATCTTTGTGATTGGTAAGAGTCAACAATGAATAGATGATATGATCTTTATCATCATTTATGGAGATAATGAGATAAGGAAAAATAGTAAGGAGCAGAGGCAATGGTTTATTCATTTTGAAAAGAAAGTAGGTAGTACATGTCACTTGCAACCAAAATGTTTGATTCTGAAGGCTTTTGTCCACAGGAATCAACTGGAAAATCCTTCAGTCCCTGCTGTTGTTTTGAAGAAAGCTCATCAGGCTTTGATCCCATCTTCAACTTTTTCTGCAAATCATATATTAGGATAATGCACACTTTCTATGAGTACTTTGAACCGTGCAGAAATACAGCTATGTATTAAAAGATGCTTTTAGCATCTGTAAGTTAATGCAACTTTTAAAGTAGAGGCCAGAAGAAACCTGAAAAAAGTTACTGATTTTAATGAATGTAGACAGGTAGGTAATTGCCTTGGGTGATTTATTTATTGAAGATATTTTCAAAACATTCACAATCCTATTCCACATGAAGTCATAAGTTCAGAAGTACATAGTTCTGAAACCACCTGCCCTTGTAAACCTTGCAGGAACTATATACCATGAGATGATTTCTTATCTTAAAAGCTTTCTCTTCTTTAAGCTTCATCTCAAAGCAAATCTTCTCCTTCCCCTTACCCTGGATTTAACTCAGCAGACTTAAATCAGCGCTATAAACTGCATGCATGACCTTTCACATGTATAGACCGTACTGAGGCTCTTAAGGTGAGACTGCCCTGCCGTCTGCCCTTTGCCAGATACTGGCTCCAGCGATAGGAATGAAATCCCAGATATTGCTGCGGCCATGAGCCTTTCGCGCTTGCTTTTACAACAAATTGCCATGAAAGAAAAGGATCATTTTTCAAGGAAGGCTGTGAACATGGGGAGAAATGTATGGGAAGAAAGGTACCCGGGACTTGCCTTGCGTAACTTTCTTTTTCCCTGACAGATTTTTCTCTAGCAAAGCATCAACCAGTGGCCGCTGCGGGTCGGTTTTATTAAGAAAATGACTTTTTGACATTCCTTTCCTCAAGATGAGCCCTTCAATTCCGATTACGCCGCCGTTGCTGAGATGTTTCCTGAGGTTCACCTGGCCATCGCGTTTCCTAACTGTCCGCTGGGTGGCAGCAGGATCCCACCGCAGAAGTTCCTTTCTCTTAACAGCAAGTGTTAATGCAATTGACCAATCAGTGCTAAGATGATGGGAGGTAATTGGGTAATTGTATTTTACTGATCACAAGCCGGGGGGGGGGAGAAGAGGGGGGGTATTGAGAAAGACTCGCCGTGTGTATGTATGAATGTGTGAACCTGGCGGGGAAAGACCATCGGAAAGTGTGTTGTTGTAGGTAAAAAGATCCCCCCGGGGCAGCTGGTGTATCTCGAGGTGCGACTGCCGAAAGGAAGCGGGAGAAAGCCAGCGTTGCCCTCCGCGGCAGCTGCTGGATGGGAAGCGGATTCTTTATTTACTTCTCCTCTCTCCTCACCCCAGCGGGCGGAGGAGTTCAAACCGAAGCTGACGGCCGCGAAGAAAAGCGGCTGCAGCTGCGCGGAGGGCTGAGCGTTTCTGGAGCGAAGGCTGGCGGTGTCAAAACAGCCCCGCGGCGGCCGACTTGCCTCGGAATGAGCCCCTGAAGAGAGAAAGGGGCTGACCTGGGGAGGAGGAAGAGGGGAGACGGCGGGGGACGTTGTCTTAACTTGTAGATTCAGAGGGGTCGCTAAGCGGATTTGGAGCAGCTGAGGGGGGAAAAGACGGAAAAAAATACAGTGCCTGCCCCTCACCGGCTGCCTTGCCACCTCCCACTTTAGCTTTTTTTGAGTATTCCAAAGAACACATCCCCCCCCCCACTTTTTTTCCCCCTCCTCGTGGTCCCCCAGCAGGCTGGCAAGCAAAAATGGAGAGGAAGACGAAATGAAGAGGAAGGGAAATCCCCGGCTGGCAAAATTCACGGCGAGCCGGACGAATCGCGCCTCCCCGGGGAGATCGGCGGGTTCCGACAGGGGAGTTTTGAACGCCGGGGGTGATCTGGATGAGGAAGAAAGGAGGAAAATGCAGCGAGGGGAGCGCGGGAAGAGGCGGGTGAAAGCCGCCCACTTCAGGTGTTTCGGAAAATGACGGATTGGTTTTTGACAGCTGGTGGGAACCTTGTTTGCTCGCTCGCTGGCTCGCTGGATCTCCTCCTCCCCCCCCTTCGCGCTCTCCCCCCCTCCCTTTTTCCAAGCTCTCGCCCGCCGCCGCCACTGTTAGCCTCAGCATCTCTTTCCATTTGATGTAAGGCTCTGAAAAACGCAGTGGAGTTGGAAGGAAGGCGAAGGGATATAGTATACGCGGAGAGTTGGGCTTGCTGGCTCCTGGCTGAAATAAAAAATCCGATTGCGCACTGGGTTGTGATTGGAAATCTAATCAGATCCTTGAATCGGCGGAGAGGGAGGGAGGGTGGGTGGCGAGGGTGGCGAGAGAAACCCTAAAGTTGGCTGGGGAGAAATAATGTAAGAGGCTGCGCGCCCGGCTGGTGAGAAGAGGGAATCGGAGCGCCGAGATCATGGGAACCCCCGATCTGTGGTGGAAGCACATGGATCGGAGAATCGAACAGGCGGCAAAGAAAAAAGGACGCCAAGGGTCTTCCCTGACTCCCGCTGGATCTTAGCAGACAGACCCCAAAGAAGAGAAATCGCCTTAAACGGACGGATCGTGGGGTCGTTGCAGAGGCTGGGGGAGAAGGGGAAACAGTCGGCAAAATCTTTCCTTCGGGTATTCAAAGGAGTTAAGTACTGGAGAGGCAAAGGATGCAAGACCTCACCACAAGATCCGGGCATGAATGAAAAGTTTCCCAACGAAGAAAGACTCTTTTCGTCGAACTGGTTGTTTTCGGTTTGGGTTTTCCCTTCCTCATTTTTCCCCCCTGAAGCCTATCCCGTCCGTTTGTGCCCCGATGAAGAAAGAAGTTGATCCCGGCAGGGACATTTGAAAACAGCCACGTCCTAAGAGTGACGGCCGGGGAGGGAGCGAGAAAGACAGGAAAGAGAAGTATCATGTAAAGGAAGCTGGAAAAGGAAAGGGGAAAAAAAATCCCAGCAGGCTTGGAGCTCTTTTGGACCGAACTAGATGGAAAATTGCAGATGGATATTTAATTTCCTATCCTTTTTTCCTCCCATCAAATTGGATCTGTTGCCGAGATGATGTAGTTTTGCCCTTGGTGGTGCTGGTGCCTGGTTTTTGTTTTTTGTTTTTTTGGTTTATTTATTTTTTCTTTTCAAACACCCACCTCCCATCTTTTCTTCTTCGGAATTCCATTCTGGATATCCTTCTTTTGCTCCTGGGTGATTTTCAAATACAGTGAGTGTCACATTATTATTTTTCCTTGGGACTTTATGCTTACCCTTATATATATTTTTAAAAGGTGAAGGAGTTGAGGGGTGATTTATGTATTTGAAGGCTAGGAGAGACCAAAGGGGAACTGAAAATGGTACCTGACAGGGACTGTGGGGTGGTAGGTACTTGGATGGGGGTAGGGTGGGGAAGGGAATCAACCTTTGGGTAACCCTTGCAGATACCTTGGTTCTCTAGCTTTCCATTCATTCTCTAGTAAATGCCTGTCCTGATCCTGCAGTATCTGGCAATGTAATGCTTGAGTTACCAAGTGGCCCAAGGCTGCCAAATTCATCACCATTGCATAACAGTCTTCTCCAACCCCAGAGTAAGGTGGATGACAGTTCCCATCATCTATAGCATGTATGGCCATCTCTGTTGGCTCAGGGTAGGAAGTAATAGGAGTTGAAGTGCAGTATATCTGGAAGACACTAGGTCTGGTTTGGAAGGTCAGCCAAAAGAATTTGGTGTGAGGAGAGTCAAGTAGGGGAAGAAATGGAAATGATGGCAATGTCACCATCTGAAGAAGTGGTGTAATAATGAAACATGATTATCAGGGAAACTGGGGAAAGATGGTTCTGAGATGGTGGCACAAGTGATGCACTTGGCAATCTATATCCAAAGAAGACATGTGAGGAAGATCTTTCCCCAAATGTCTCCTAGAGCATTCATTCCACTATGATTTGATGGTAAATCCTCTCAGTTTCCCCAGAGCATGTCTGTGGCCGTTTGGGTCCTCATAAATGACACTCTCTGGAATTTTGTGGGTATATCTTATTGTTTTGATATTTAGCTTTCTGTGTTACATTGGATGGAGTGGTCTTAATGCTTCAATTTAAAATGAAAGTGTAACATTCATCCTATGCATGTTCACTAAGGAAATAGGATTGCACATTATGTTATGTACTTCTATGTAACTGGGAGGGACTGTGGGTCTCTTTGTACAACCTACTTATCCATGGTATCTTGGAGCATCATATATCCAATTAATCCAATTTTCTGGATCCATGGAACACAGCCATCAACTAGCAAGAGGGGTTGAGTTTGCACAACAGACCAGGTTCAAATCATGCGGTGGTTGGACAAAACTACCCTGTAATTGTAGCCATTTCATAAGTTGGAAAAATGAGTGTGAAAAGTTTTTACTTTCCATTATGAAAGTTGATTGTTGATCATTTTGTTTTATTAATTACAGGGACTTTCTTTTCCAAAATGAGAGCATTTCATAGTTGCAAAAAATGTAGTGTGTAGATACAGCAGAGGATACAGAAGAGGACAAGATATTTTAAAGGCTATTGCGGCAACTAATCACTTTCCATTAGATTAACTTCTTTTGAGCATGGCTATTTACCATTTAAATGTATGTTTTCTTCTCACGTGTGGCTCTCCTGATCTTGCATCCATGGGCTGATAATCAAAATATCTACACATATACCAATGTACTTAATCAAACTGGGAAGATCTGCTTTTCTGTAAAAGCAGTACCTTCACCGTAACAACTGGAAATGTTTTTCTAACTATCCTCTCTCCAATATTTTTTTCAGTTGTAATCTTACAAGAGTATAAGCATTTTATCAATGTTTCCCCATTATGTTATTTAGACATGACTTCTGAACATATTTGATAACCTGTCAAACCAACACCATCAATATTTCTGAGAGTTGGTTTAATTATTTCGCCCTCATAGCTTAATGAAACTATCTGTTTATAAAAATTATGCTACATAGTGTTGTGGCATGCCTCTTAAGTGTTAGATACATAAAATATAGTAAACTTTGAACCATGTTCTCAGAAACACGCATGCCAAGATTCCCAATCCTGCAAAGCTGTCATAGCAAAGTAAAAAAAATCCCTTTCTTTATTTCATAACTCTTAAGGAAATCAGTGAAAACAAATTGATAATTATAGTTTCTTTACTGAACACATGCCATTATTTTGGCGATCTGTTTAAAGAAATCTTGTTTGTCCCTCACTGACTCCATTCCCTGCATACATTTTGTCCCAGTTAGGGACTATACTTGCACCAACAGCAATAGAACATGGATATTGTGCTTGTGTTAGTCAAGTCCTGAAATAAGATGGAGAAGGAAAAAACAGTGTGTTTTTAAAGGGGGAAAAATAAATAAATAAATAAATAAAGCAATCCTCTTTCCACTGAATCACTCTACTATGATCTGATAAATCAGAATTCATTGGCAAAGCCACCTTGCTATTTGGCAGGAAAATAGTGCCACCATTGTTTGATCCCGGTCCAGTTATATTGCAAAGCTACATGTCCATTGAATCCAGGGGGAGGGGGAAAATCTTGATGAAATAAAAGTCAATCTCACTGGTGTATGGAATGGTGATGGTGGATGTGGACTTTCAGAAATGCTAAACTTGCTTGGCATGAGAGCTAAACAACATGTGGATGTGCTTCAGATTGGAATTCAGCATTTGTTGTGATAGGTGAAATTTTGTCATTCAGGCATGCATAGCGTTGCTGTTTATAGGTGATACCAGCAGCATTGAAAAAAAATCCTCAAGAACCTTTGTTTCTGATTTTATGTCCTACTTTGAATGTGTGATGTTGTTTCCATTGTGGTGGGGGATAGGCATTTCATCTGGTTAACTGTTTCCATTGCTTGTGTCAGAATATAAGTGCAACATTCATCAGCATCTGATAATTAGCCAAGATGCCTTCCAATTTTTTTTCCAGGATAAAAGGGTAAGCAATTCTGTAATTACCATCAGACAGCTAGGAAGTGACAGCCAGGGAGTTTCTGAATAGAGAACAATTCTGGGTATAAAATGCATGAATTGCTAGTGAAAGGAAAGAAGCATGGGCTGCTAAGAGTTTGTTTCATTTAGCAGGTTTGGCTTTAAGAGAGCTGCAAATTAGGTAATCTAAAAAAGAAAATAATTCTCAATAGTTGGGATGGTACATGATTCAAAATACTTCCTTGCAGAGAAAACAGTTTCATAATGCTAAGATATACGAATCCCTACAGGGTTAAATGAAGCCTTTACAAGAATCATGTTAGAACAGCAGAGATGATGCCTTGCAAAGTTTCTGTTCCTCTTCTTTTCTCCCCGCCCCACCTCTCTCTTTTCTATTTTGTTAGTTAATATTATTTAAAGATCTATGTTTTGATACTTTATGGTATTGGAAGAAATTGTGATTACATTGATAAATTCAGAGGAAGCAAAGACTGGGCTCCTAGTTTAATGCTGTAAGAAATGACAGTAGTAAAATGGAATGTGTACATAATACAATATGCTGCTATGGATGTAGCTTATTAGGATGTGTTTATTGATGTCAAGCAAAAATGATTTTCCTGAGGGAATCCCTTCTTCCTATTTCAAAATATTAAATGAGTTGCAAAAAGTTATGAAAAAGTCTTCAATAACCTCTCTCTTAACCAAGTGTGGGTAGGAAAGATTCATGTGTCTATCATGTTCTCTTAGCTATTGAAAGTTTTGTACAATTAGTGAAGCTGTTAACTAATAGAAAATTTTGTATGGTAATTTTAGAGTGAATACTTTTTGTCACAGGGATATTGAGTATCTTCTTCCATAAAATAACTGATTTATTTATTTATCTAATTCCCGTCACTGCCCATCTCATAAACAAGTGACTGTGGATGGTGTTCAGCAAAACTAAAACAATAAATCTAAAACTATTATCGTTAAATTATTCAAAATCATTTAAAAAACCCTCTAAAACAGCTAAAACAAAGTATAATAAATAAAGGGATGATAATAATAATGGAACCATTACTTGATAGTGATGCTTATTTTCTAGCCATAGGAATCTTTATACTGCAAAGTTCGTGCAAACCATGATTTATAGCGAAAGATGCTTTCATGTGAACAGCTTCTGTTAATCAGGATTTATTTCATTTGGCAAGAGACTGAGGAAAGTCATGCATTACAATATAAACAGTCTTTCAAATAAATGCAATAATATGTAACTATTGGATTTTCTTGATGAGTCAAAGATTTGCAAAACACTTTTTCAATCAATTAACTAATAGAGTTTCATATCTGGGATTGCATAAGAATTGCAATTCTTCATTAGAACAGAAAGATTTGGTTTCTTATTGGAACATTTCTAAGCTGTTTGTTCAACTATCTTGCAATGATGTCCGTGTGTTGGCTTTAACTGTTTTGTGGATAACTATGAAGTGGAAATATAGTATATAAGACACAACTTACATTGAATATGTCAGAGATGAAGAATATTATTATAACATAAATATAACATATTTTGAAAATAACATATTTTGCTTTAAGAACATGTATGAACACTACAAACCAAGTCAGAGAGTGGTCATTTATATCTGGTATCCAAGGAAGCAAGTATAGAAATGTGCATCATTTTCTATGCATGGTTTAAATGTTGCTATAGTGATATTTCAGGATGCAAGTTGTATGATTCTCCTGTCCTTGATCTAGATAGCCTATTCTCCTTCTCCTTGTTCTTTTTTCTTTTATAATATGGTTTATAACAACAATAATGTATATACAATTTGATTACAAGAGATGCAAGAGAAAGAGAAGTGTTTCTTGTTTATTTCATATACATATCTAAGACACCAATATCCTGCAACCTTAAACGGGGGAATCATATTTCTGAGGGAAGTTGGGCAGATTACATTTCTTAATGTTAAAAAAAAACATATTACAATATTTAGAGTAGTGGGAGATGTTAATTGAATATTTCCAAGCAGATCAAATACATGCAGCCTATCTATATGTGTGTTATGTATGTGTACACTTTTGAGAGCAAGCAACAGAATGTCATTTTTAATGTGTGCCAGAGTGCCCTTTATGCAATGGTGGGATTCAAATAATTTAACGAACGGTTCTCTGCCCTAATGATTTCTTCCAACAACCAGTTCACCAAACTGCTCAGAAAGTTAACAACCAGTTCTCCCGAAGTGGTGAGAACTGGCTGAATCCCATCATTGCCTTTATGACAATAA